GCAAGGAGAGCTTGTGCCATTGTAGCTTCCAAAAATAGGTAATCTTACTTCATAGGAGTTAACAAGAGAGGGGCTTGAACATAAGTGAAAACCTCTAATATTAGTACAAATAACAATAGTAACAGCAACTAATAAAAACTTATAATAGTACTAAGAAATTCTGAGAATTCAATATGTATCAGGCAGTAGATTCATTTAGGCTCATTATCAAACTTCATTCAAATAGTAAAATGAGTTGTGAACTTATGAACTATCATTATCTGCAATTTACCAATGGGACAACCGAGGCACACTGTCACAGAACTAATAAATGGTGGACTCAGGACTTGAAACCATACCTATTAGCACAGCAGACTACACTTTTGATAAAAGCTTGGATGCAATCAAACCACATTTATCTTTAGTAATTTGAGCAAAGGAAAAGATTTTGAGCTAAGATAATTTGTGTTTAGCAAACCCCATTTAGAGTGCAAGGTAATATACTCACTCTTTCAACAAACATTTTTAAGTGTTTAGTATGTGCAAGGTGCTCACTCAGAAACTGTTAGCAAACCCCATATAGAATGCAAAATAATTTACTCTTCCATTTATCTTTACTCTTTAAGTTATGATTTACTCTTTGTCTTTCAACAAACATTTTTGAGTGCTTAGAATGTACAAGGTGCTCTCTTGGAAATTCTTGGAAAGACAAATCAAATAACAGATTAAAATCTCAAGGAATTTACGGTGTATTATGAGATATTAAAAAGAGAGAGAGAGAGAATCAGATGTTTCCAGGAAGCTGAAGGAAAGGATATTCCCTCCTGTAGAGTTGTATCCAGGCTGTATATGGCTCATTAAAAGCAATGAATGAATGAGCACATACATAAATGAATGTGTGAATAATCAAAGGGAGAAAATGAACTGGGCCTCAACATACAGCTAGAATTACGTGCAAAAAAAGAGATGAAAACATTCAGACAGAACTACTGGAAAGAGTTAATAGTACAGACAATACTTAGTTTATTAATCTATTGTTTATAAATAAAAAAACAATTTTCCTTTATACAAACATAATAGGTTTTTGCAGAAAATTCAAATATAGAGAAAGATATACAGAAGAAATTGAAAAAAGGGGTGCCTGAGTGGTTCAGTACGTTGAGCATCCAACTTTGGATGGGGTCATGATCTTGGGGTTCATGAGTTTGGGCCCCGTGTCAGGCTCTGTGCTGACAGCTCAGAGCCTGGAGCCTGCTTCAGATTCTGTGTCTCCCTCTCTCTCTACCCCTCCCCTAATTGCACTCTGTCTCTTTCTCTCTCAAAAATAAATAAACATTAAAAAAAATGTTTTAAAGAAATATAAAAAGCCAGGGGGACATCTGTAAGTAATTAGTGGACCAATAAATCTGAGTTAATCAATTTTCCTCATCCTATGTCCATTTATTAAAAATTAGGCACATTTTACTGCTCTATCATCACTGTTTTTTTCATAGAGACACTCATGTTTATTATATAGGTGAGAACAAAGATATCTGTTGGACCTCAGACTATACAAGAAACTATTGAAACCAACAAAAAATGAAAAAGCAAATGTTTGGGAAAATGTCATGTGAAATCCTGGATGAAAAACTATAGCTAACTTTAATTTTTCATCATTTGCTTGGGAATGAAGATGTCTTCAATAGCTAGATCTCTGGCAGTGGCTGAACTAGGATCAGTGGTTTCCATTTTAAATAAAGGTCAATCAGGGAAAAAATCTACCTCCCTCAAATAGTAATAGGAATGCGGAAAAAACATTCTTAAACTCTTGCTCATGTATTTCCCATTCCAAAAATTATTTCTCATCCTGCTCCCCTACACTCTATTTAACTTTGACAAACTTTGATAAAAATACAAAGACCTGTGGTGCTTTAATAATTGTGTTGTGCTTTTTAAGTCTTCCTTACCCTCAAGATTAAACTCTCAATTCTGTGTGCATTTTTAATATAAAAGGTTATGACTAAATATCTTTAAACAAAAGTGAAAGAGAAATAATACAGAGATTACAGTAATGGCTGTCCAACACCCCAGTTTGGTGACCCATTTGCAAGTAGAAAATTTAATATCTTTTTAAAACATTTATTTTGAGAGAGGGAGAGAGAGAGATAAAGAGAAAGANAGAAAGAAAGAAAGAGAGAGAGAGAGAGAGAGAGAGAGAGAGAGAGAGTGTGTGTGTGTGTGTGTGTGTGTGTGTATGAACCCCACGCAGGCTCATCTGTCAGCGAAGAGACCCACATGGGGCTCAATCCCACAAACCACGAGATCATGACTTGAGCCAAAATCAAAAGTCGGATGCTTAACCAATGAACCACTCAAGCACCCTGATTTAATATCTTGTCAACGTTGGATTTGTCTGAGGGGCTGATTCCAGGATAAGTATCCACTTTGCGCTGATGGGGTTCTCAATGAATACCCAAAAGGTAATACCTTTTATTGTCCTCCTAGGGAGGGTTCAAAAGGATTGACCATCACATTTAAGTGTTTATAATGTCACCAGAGTAAAGAAACCAGGGTGACCCATGAAATTCAAATAAGGCAAGATTCCATCAGACCTACACTGCCTACAATTTCCACATGCCATCTGATGAAACACGCAGACATTAAGATGGAAAACAGAACGGTCCACACAACTTATAGCCAAAGCATCCAAACCTGAATCTATAAGGACGTCCACTTGGAGCATTACTTGAACTTCACATCCCCTAACTGCCCCAATTTCCTAACGCCCTGAAGGCCTAAGAACAAATGCTGAAGCTGCATATAAGCCAACTGATAGCTGTGGTATAAACTGTTATTAAAATAAATACAATTCATGGCTAAAATGAAACGGCCCATGGCAAGGCTCTTGTGTAAATAAAACCATTGTTCCTTTGTATATAAAAATTGTATTTATCAAACACAGAAGAAGATGAACACAAATTGCATGAAAAAGGCAACTCATTTAGGACAAGATGATGGTGTGTAATAAAAAGATTTATTGTGTGACTAAAATGAAAATTAAATTCCTGTTAAAATATTTATGTGGATATGGCTGAAACACTCTGCTGAGAGATAAATCAGAGCGGCCTTTGGCATTTCGCAGATATAATTCCTCTATTCTTCTGCTGCAAATTTAGAGCTTACAAGATGCTAATGGCATCGTGATTTCCAGGACAGTCTCTGCAGACTACTTTTGCTCAGCAGGTGGTAAGAATTTGCATCCATATTTCAAATATACTTCTATCTCATTACTGGCATCTTATTTCTTTGTGATTTATATCTCTATAAAATTCCAGCTAGTGCAATGGGGAATGGGATTTCAAAAAGGCAAATTCTGCATAATATGAACATTTATCACCTTCTTCCTTCTTTATTTTTTTTCCTTCATCTCCAGGGAGATGGGGGGAATGACATGTGGCACTTAAAGGGGGGGATGTGCTTTTCTTAAAATAATACCATTTGAAAGCTTTCCAAATTAGGAATATTGTTCTAAATGACCCTTTCTAGTGAGTGGCATTATTATTTGCATCACTGCCTACATTTAACTGAATTGTGATCTTTAAATAATATATGTACATTAGAAAGTAAACTCACTTGGTAGCTATTAATTTGTAAGAGTCTTAATCATTTAAAATTCAGAAAGTGCTTTTTGTAATAAGTCTGAACATAACGAATCTATTTGGTATTCATGCAGGTGTCACAAGCAATTTCAGAGTTGTTACACTATAATTCTGCGCTACTTAATAGATATTAGGGTGGTAGCAGTTGTGTCACTGTAGATAAGACTCTTTCACAGTTCCTGTGTCAAAGTCACCTCTTACTGGTGTTTAGAATTTAGCTAAAGCCAAATTACATGCTTGTGAAACCTGACAGGTTCAGGGATTTAGAGGCATATTCTGGGGGCGAGAAAGAGCGGGTTGTAGTGAAATAAAAGGCAGCAGGGAAGTATGTAGGCAAGGTAGTTGAATATTACTAAGATTAAACTTAGATATGTAAATTTTTAATTTGTATGGTAAATTAAAGAATGTAAATCCATGTATTTCCTTCTAGGTCTTCTCATTTTAGTATTCCATTCCAGAAGAGAAATTAAAACAGTTAGTGAAATTTTATAGGCCATATGCTAGAATAGCAGGTACCAGGCTGTCTATCATATTTAAGAATTTCATTGATATTTTAAGTAATTTTCTCAGTGAAGTTCAAAACATTTTGCCATATGACTCAAAATATAATTGTTACATTTAATGAACAGTTATTAGGTATTTAGGTACTCAGACATTTTTTATTATATCAACAGGCCTAAATGAGAAAGAGGATGTACTGGTTCACATAATTAACATATTCAGACAAGAGGGGTTATAGGGCACCTGGGTGGCTCAGTCGGTTAAGCGACCGGCTTCGGCTCAGGTCATGATCTCGCGGTTCGTGGGTTTGAGCCCCACATTGGGCTCTGTGCTGACAGATAATTCAGAGCCTGCAGCCTGTTTCAGATTCTGTGTCTCCCTCTCTCGCTGACCCTGCCCTGCTCATGCTGTCTCTCTCTCAGAAATAAATAAAACATTAAAAAAAAAAAAGAGGTTTGCTCCCATAACTTAATAGTGTCTCCAAAGATTGAATTGTACTCTTTCTCTCGCTCTGTTTCTCACAAAAGCCAGCAATGATGATGCTTCCACATTTGCACCCAGCAAGGGATAAGGGGAATCTCTTTGGGGAGTTCATGCAAAAGAGTAAGAAATCTTCAGTCTCCAACCCCTTAGGTCTCATTGCCCCAAACTGAGTAATGCACCATCTTTAAATCAACTTTTTTTTGTCCAGGAAATGGGATGCACCAAGTAGATTAACCAGTGCCAAACTCTGATCCTGGACGTGGGTGTCAAATCTGTCAGAACAGAGTGGCTGAGAAATCCATGGGGGCTTATGAAAAGGAATGCAGGAAATGGATGCTGGTGACGCTATCCACATGTGTGCCCTGGGCACCATGCATTTTAAGTTATGATTTCACTTACCCTTCAGAGCAATCCAATGTCCAATTTGGATACTGGCGATTCCAAATTTTCTAAGGAATAAAGAAATTGAGAAACACTGTGAAACTCACTCTGATGTAAGAGTAGAAAAAGGTTTGAGCCACAGTTTATTTAAAATCTGGGTACTATGATTTAACCATCTTGTTACTCATGAGATTTCCTGGCCTGATCATATTCCCTTCTGCCAGAAACATTATCATTGAAATAAATAATATAAAAGACAGGAGAATCATTTATTTTTTCCATTTAGGAACTAATTATCTAGTTTTAGGTTCGGAGCCAGAAGCAGTTCCCTCCCCACTTTATTTCTTTGTTTCTAAACAAGAGAGACTTTTCTCACAGATTTAGAAGGTAAGCTTTAGTGCTGCCTTCTGTACTCCTAAGATGTAGTGGAGAATAACACGAAGAGTGCCTGACTACATTGTAAGATCCACCAAGCAGGAATTTCTAATTGTTTTCTCTCAAATACATACCCTTACTTCTAGGAACTTTGTCTGAGACAAAGTAGGAACTTGACAGATACATGTTGAATGAACAAATGAGAAGAGAATGAATGAATGTAAAGACAACAGTTAAAAGTCAGAGTCTCTCATGATCCTAGGCAAAGTTTGATGGTTGTTGATGTGGAAAAGGGAGGTTATGGGACTGCAATGTCTCAATAGCCTGCAAGGTCTTTCTTTGTCCAACTTGATTAGGAACAAGACTCCAGTCAGTGGGTCTCAGCAGGTGCACACAAAGAAGCACAGACCAGCTGTGTGCTCTGTGGCCTTGAGCTGCTCAAGAGAGTCAGCCATCTGTCCCCCCACCATACACCAGCACAAGCAGAGTCCTATCTCTTACCAAGGAGAGCCACATTTATAAGCTGGACTTCCTGGGGACATTTAAGGACAGCCACACACTATGGGGCAGGGTCCCCTAAGCAGAAGTAGTTCCATACATTCTTAAAAATATTCTTAGTTAAAAGCCAATTATCAACCAATGTTTTCAACAAAACATTTCCACTTAGATTTCATTGTATGAACCAGCTTTATATTTAAGGCTCCGGACTTTATTTCTTTTTTTAAATGTTTATTTATTCTTGAGAGAGAACAAGAAAAACAGAGCATGAGCAGGGGAGGGGCAGAGAGAGAGAGGCAGGAGGAGACACAGGATCTGAAGCAGGCTTCAGGCTCTGAGCTGTCAGCACAGAGCTGGACATAGTGCTTGAACTCAGGTGAGATCATGACCTGAGCTGAAATCAGATACTTAACCGACTGAGCCACTCAGGCGCCCTCGAGGCTTCATTTCTTTAAGAGGCAGTCTATAACTAAAGAGAAATTTGTTTCAGGATGGTTTTTGCTTGAGTAGATCTCAAGATCTGTTGATTTTCCTGAGGAAACACTTACCAAAAAAAGAGTTCCAGAAAATCTTTTAGGTATGCAATCCAGTTAAATCTGGGTCTCATAATCCTTCATGAGCAAGAGACACATGCTAAAGTACAGTCTGATAGTCAAAGGTAGTCAAAAGTAAACAACTATGTTAATATCACCTCTGTACAGAAATAAAAATATTCTTTTCCAGAAGTCCCCTGTGTATTCTTATATTATAACCCCTCTCCTCTAAAAAATAACCATCTGTAATTTTTGCTAATCAGTTACTTTTCTTTATAGTTTTAAACCTATGTACATATCTCTAAAATAGGATAATGTATTCTTTGCCTACGGTGAATTGCATATATATTTACGGGTGTGCGTGTGTACACACACACATATCCTCTTCAGTGCCTTGCTATTTTCACTCAGATAGAGATACAAGTATACTGATATATAGATACACAACTTTATATATGATTCATCCATGGTATGGTATGTGCAACTATACTTCCATTTTAATTTTCATTAGTGTATATATTTACTTGTTTGATTCTACCATGATTTTTTCATTCCCTCTACTACTCATGGATATTTAAATTGATTTAGATTTTTCCAGTATGGGGCTCTTACAAATTGCACTGTATGAACATCCTCCTACATGCACCTGGATAAAATATGAATAAGTTTTGCTAAAGAATATAGTTAGTATTAGAATTGCTGAACCATAAATGTACCTCTCTCCAACTATACTTATTTGTCCCCATTTTGCAACTGAGATTTCTACACCAGAAGCTGACTGGGACTGCTTGCAAACTGAGCACCCATGAGAGAAGCCAAAGAAGCAAGGTTGAGCAAAATAAAGCTACAGTCAGTTCCACAGAGATCCCTGAAGCTATGACTGACTCAGAGTCACACTAAGTTGAGGCAGTGGGACTAGGCCATTTCATACCCCCACTGACCTATTATTAGATTCAGGCTTCCCCCAAGATGGAGGAGACTGTGTTTGAAGTCTCTGCATCTGATGGCAATTCCTGGAGCTGAGGGCTGCCCACGAGCACCCCTCGAAGCAGCTGAGAAAATAGGTCCTTCAGTCTAGAATAAGGATCTGAGCCTGCAGTGAAGTGTCCACTGGGGCAGATAATACCAACCAGCTTTCCAAAGGGGTCATCAGGTCATATCTTTACTAAATCTCTTGAAGGATAGCAAAGGGAGGGAACAAGTTTCTTAAAGGCAAACATCCTAAATTTCCTCTTCGTGTTGCCGGAATCACCAGAGCCATGTGGAGTAAAGATCCCCATGCCCCCAAACTCTCTCTCTTCTCTACTTTTCAATCCTAGTGAGGTCTTTTGTGAAGGAACAAGAGGAACACAGAGTTTGAGAAGAAATTCTGACACATGGAGAGATGGAGAGGCATTTTCTCCACTAACTGAGAGGCTTGGAGAGTAAGTAAGGGAGTTTGCCAGGAGAAAACCTCCAAAGGTAAAAATAACCCACTGAAAGGCCCCAGTGAGAGACCATTGTGAGTAGCATCATTTTAATACTTATCTCTCTATGCTGTCATTGCCTACACCAAGCCCCTACCCTCACCTCCACTCAAGGGCAAACCTAACCAAATGGGTCTAGAGCTCTGTTATAGTCAGTTCTCCATCAGCTTTCAGCACTTTGCCTGTTGATACCCTAGCAGGAGTGAGGTCTGTTTGCACTACATTTTGTTTTTACTTCCCCTTCACACTTGTCATCCCAAGAAAATGATTCCAAACCTATATACTTTGTAGAGTAATAGCAGGGAAGCCCTAGCATTTGGGAAGAAAGAACTGATGTTAAGTAAAAAAAAAAATCCTTGACCTATGAAAGTAGTGAATGACACTTTCCTTGATGTCATTATTTTATATGTCAGTGCCTCTGAATTTTGGTTTCATGCCCTACCCTGAACATTACTCTGATGTCAAATGTAAACCTTATTTGTCACTTATAAGGACAAAGAAAGAATTATGCAATTACATCGGTGTTGCTATGCTGCAAAGCAGATAGCTCTCACTTTCAGGCTTGATTTTTTTTTTTTTTTAGTGAATGTATCAAAGTGCCTCTTCCCAGATAATCTGTTAAGGGATTACTGTACCTCTGACACTCCCATAATTTGTCCGTGAAGCATGGAGGAAACATTCATTTCCTCATTTTCTTTCCCAATTAAGAAAGAGCAATAGAGTTCAGATGACTTGTCTAGGGTCACAGAGCAAGTCGGTGGCAAGAACCTGAGTCTATTAATTCCAAGCAGACAGGACACATTGAGCATTGCTAGTAAGTTCAGTTCACTCAGTGACCACAGAGAAGACAGAAGTCAGATATTTGTTACTGAGATTTTCTCAGGGTGAGATCCACTGACCTGCAGAGGATTGATTGAGCCTTCAACACTGCCAAACCCATTGATAGCTCACTAGTGAACTAAACCTTGGCTTATGACTTGTCCTTCAATTCTTACTAACCCTTGGGATGAATCAGGAAGCATCATATGTTCAAGTATAGTATATGACTAACACAAATTTTATTAGCCCATATTTTGTTCAATTCCACAGCCAAGAAGTGGGCTGAAATTTGTGTTCCTAATACATTTTGTTAATCAAAAAAAAAAAAAAAATGCCTGTGATCTACATTTGCATAATTCTGTAAGCTTTACAGATTCTGTTTAAAACTGATCCATGCAAGAACTCCAGAAGTAGGTAGAGTTCTTTTTTTTCAATTTCAAAACAATGGATAAATACAAGTGTATCATAAACAATTCTATCATTATGGAAGGCTACAGAATAAAATAGCGCAGGCCCATCCTCACTTTTCCATGATTATAATTACTAGAGGTAATTATTTTAGTCAAAGTGGTGTGTATAATTTCAGACCTTATGCTATGAATTTTCATATGTGTATATGGTATATATACATTTATAAAAATAAAACTACACTATACTTATTTTTCAGCAACTTCTTCTACAAACATCCTCTTTCCCATACACTAAAACTCTATTCTTCCTATGCTCAGAACAAGCATCATTTAAACTCTTCTCACACCCAAACTGGCTTATAACCAAATCTTACCACTGCTACCTTCAACATATGCCCAGAAATCATCCTCAGACCATCACTCTGGCACCAGCCACCACTGCATCTCATCTAGGTCATTGTGGGAACCTCTGCAATGCTATTCAGCTTCCTCTCTTACCCCCTTCAGTCAGTTCTCACTGAAGTAGCAACACAAGAAATTCTATTATAATATAAAGCAGAGCCTCTTCCTCCTTTTGCTTAAAACCCCCAAGTGGCTTCATATCTCATTCCAAGTAGAAGCTAAAGAATACCCACCAGGAGCTACAAAACCCTCTAAGGCATGGCCCCCTCCCCATAATTCCATGCCTTCATCTCCCTCACTCACTCCACTCCAGTCTCAAAGCCTCCTTTATGGCCCTCAAACACACCAGACACACCCCCACCCAGGAACCCATGCCTTGCCCGGTCCTCCTCCCACACTCCAGGTCTGTATCCACGAGTTACTGTCACCAAGAACCCTTTTCTGGCTACGGAATCCAACATGTCAATGTCTGCTGTGTTAACAGCCCATTCCATGCTTCATTTTTTTATTTCTTCTTAGCACATTTCCCTGTGCCAGTTTTGTTTTAATTTATTTGGTTTATTAT